ATGTTGGGATAATTATAATAATTAAACTTATTTTATTATTAGATTAGATATTTCACGAGACAGATCCTCCCAATCCAGTTAGCTGCCAAGTCAGGTTGGTGTTACCGATCCTCTCTGTGGAATAGATTTATGCGCACCTGACTCGATCTGCATCTTTTGATCATAGTTTCCTTTCTGGATCAAGCATTGACTGGTGTGACCGTCGAAAGCTATACTACTTCACCTACTCTGGATTTCTACCATGCAGGTCCCCTGCCTGTAGATCCTATCAAGATTTATTCATGTAACGTTACGTCTCGCCAAATGCCCCATCACACTTCCAATATCCGGATAATATTGGTGCAACGTGATTTACAGGATTACAACTCCAGAAACAGACAGGGTTTACCATAAGTTAGATACAAAGGTCCAGGTAATTATTCAAATTTGTCGACAGTGGGATTTGAATCCCAGACCTCTTGCATGGCGGTCTGGCAACCTAACCACTACACTAAGATCACCAGACCTTTATTTAGAATTTTTTTAAGATATTTTAGTAATCAATTGTTATATAATCTTTAAAATTCAAGTTTAATCAATTAAGATTTAACATAGAATTGAAAATAATCTTTGAAATTGTTCAAATTTTTACTATAAAGTAAAAATTTCTGGTTATATTTTTATGATCTTTAAATTATATGTAGAATAATTTTTAATCATGAATTTTTTTATTATCGTTAAAAATTTTCAATACTGAAATTATTTAAATTATTTTTAAAAAATGTTAAATTAAATATGAAAAAAAAAATTCTTTTTGGTTAGTTCCTAATCAAAAGATTTTTAATAATAATTAATTGTATCAAAATTTTTAAAATTTTACAGAATATCTATTTCTGTTTTTTTTCACGCTTTGAATAAACTCTACAAAAAACTTTAAGAATTCTTTATCAGGTTACATAACTATTACATGATTAAGAATTTTTTATGTTTTGAATGAACTCCACATATTTATTTAAAATTCAAAATACATTTTCCGTTAATCTTAATATTAACATCATTAAAAATTAAATCACAAATTAAAATCTGATTAGTCAGATTTCAAAGTATTTGGTTTTCGATGCGAAAGTTTAAAACAAAAAAATGATTTTTTTATTTAAATTTTTTTTTAATTTTTTCCCAAATATCTTTATGATTCCTTGCAAAATGTTTCTTAAGAGTATCAAGAATGGGATGTTTATAATCTTTGGAACATTGTTTACAAATTAACCCTTTCTCATTATTTAATGAATATTAATCAAGTATTATATGACCTTCATTATTATATTTTTTTTTAATTAATATATAATTTTCATTATGATATTTTTTAAAGTGTTTCTTAAAGACCAATATACTTGTCTTACAACTATAAGATTGTTCGCAGTTGTTGCAAATAAGTTTTGTCTTTTTATTATTAAAATAAAAAAATTTCTAATTTCATGTATAGTTCGCATTTTAATAATATTTACAGATAAAAAAACATATTTTATATTTTTTTAAATTAGTCACATGTTTAATAAATAATATTACTATTTGAGAATATCTTCATTTAGAAATAAAATTCAGAATATAAACACAGAATAATTTAGACATTTTTGGAGCACTTACGAGACACAAAATGATTATTAGAATAATTTGTGATCAGAATAATTTTAACATTTTTTGAGTACTTACGAGATATAGAATAATTAACTCAGAATAATTTTAACGTTTTTTGAGCACTTACGAGATACAGAATGATTAACTCAGAATAATTTTAACATTTTTTGAGCACTTACGAGACACAGAATGATTAACTCAAAATAATTTTAACGTTTTTTGCACAGAATGATTAACTCAGAATAATTTTAACATCACAGAATGATTAACTCAGAATGATTAAACTCAGAATAATTTTGACGTTTTAAAACTATAATAATTTATTTGATAATAAAAATATACATTATTTCTGAATAATAATATTTTCTGCTTCTAATCCTGTAATAAACAAATTAAACAAATCATCTTTGATGATAACATTTTCTAAGATGATTCTTTTATATTTTCTTCTTTTTTTGTTAATTTCTTCTCAAAATAATGTTTCAATTTCTGTTTCTTGTTGAATATTTTTTCTTGGCTCATTAATTTCTGTTTCTTGTTGATTGTTAGTTTGATTTTTAGTTAAATTTTGATTATTTTTTCGAGTTAATTCTTTATTCAAAATTTCGATATAAGTTTCTTTATGAAGTCTTTCAAAATAATTTTTTAAATTTACAACTAATGAACTTGATTGTGAATTATATGATTGACTACAAATTATATATGAAACTAATTTTTTATCTAAGTTTTCTATAACATGATTCCAAATTTCATGTTTTTGAGTTTTTCTTTTATTAGATTTATTTTTTTGATTAGGTTGTTTTCTCTTAAGATTACTTCGAATTGTAGAGTCTTGATGAATTGTTTGTTCGTTCTCAAATTGAATATTATTAAGTTCAGCCATTTTTGAATAAAGAACCTGTAATATTTCTCTTGATATTTATTAAAAATTATTTATTTTACATGTTGTTTTGTTATACAAAAATTATATGACTAATAAAATATTTCTTTTTAAGGATTTCCTCAAAGGGTAAACAATTACTGATCACAAATTTCCTCATGAGGATTTTATAAACGGATAGATTGCAGATCCAAAATTCAAATTTTAGGTCGACACATGATGACACAAAAATTAATGATAACAAATGCACCAATCATTTTGTAAAATTCTGTTTACTTATAATTAATAATTTTTGAACCAATAAACTTTGATAAAAAATTCTTTTCTCTTATGAGTTTTTTAAAAACTTGTTTTTATTTCTTAATATTTAAAGTTTATAAAAATGCTTAATTTTCTGCATGCAACCTTAAAAAAATGTCTGACATTTCATTCCAAATTAAGACTAAACAATCAATATACAATACTCTACAAATTATTTCAAATGAATGAAGAAACAAAAGAAAACATCTTTCTAATTCAACAGACGAAACTAACAAAAAACAAAAAATATATTCAATCGATATTGAAAAATTTGAAGAATTAAATAATGAATATAAAAAAATATTCAAAGATTATCAAAAAACAGTTGAAGAATTGCGAAAAGAAAATAAAGATCTTTTAGAATTAATTGAAGAAAAAAATAAACTTTTGAAAGATAAAGAAGAAATAATTGATGATTTTAATAATAGAATGTTCTATTATTCAGAATTTTTTAGAAAA